TGTTCACTCCTGTGACGAGAATCGGACCGTTCGGGTGATCTCTATATCGGATATAATTTGCTTTCATATAACAAAAAGTTAAAATAATTCAAAACTATATATCAATCGTTAGTGTCTTTGAAATGCAATTTAAATACTAATTAAAAATTTTAATTCAAATTAAATTTAAAATAAATAACAAATAATTAGCGATTAATATAATGTAAACAATACCTGATGTCTGGCACTCATTGTCCCGCAAATCAGTTCTCATAGAAATACAAACGATTTATTAAATCATTGACTAAAATATTATTACAATTAAAATAAACAAAATTATAAATGAAACCAAAATTGAAAACCAATTTTCAATTCAATGCAAAAAACACTGAAAGGCTTGTCATAGAAATAATACGACGGCTGAGACACCACTCGCACTGCAAACACATTGGTTTGGTTTTCATTATAGCATTTTATTTTATTAAACTTACTTTTAATTAAGTTTTAATCAATAATAGACTCAATATTTGGATGCATTAGTCGCAGAAAAATAACTTTACTTATAAGTAATGTTTGAGTGAATGCTTTATTGAACCCAACTTTAATATGTCTAATAATTAGCATGTTAACATTTCTAGATATTTTTCGAGAATAATTTTAGACATTTATTAATTCATTTAAAATTGTTTTTTTCGGTGACAAATGCATCAAAAATGCATCCAAATATTGAGTCTAATCTTTAATAAAATAATAATTGAATTTGAGGCAAACAGAGTGAGTCTTCTTGTAATGTATTTTATTATAACTTGTTCATAAACATAATGTATAAGGGTAATACCCAATACTCAACATAACCAATACTCATTTTTGCCTTGCTCAAATGCATAGCGAGTTGACTCACTCTGTTTGCCTCAAATTCAATTATATTTTTACTTAATAATTTAAAGTTGTTTTTAATAAATAAAAGTTTTAATAGACATTTTAATGATTTATTGGCTTATATGACATAAAAGTATTACAAAATTCATCTCTTTTTAAACTTCTTGTTATTATTCCTGTTGTTATTCTTGTTGTTGTTATTCCTGTTATTGTTATTCCTGTTATTAAACGTGTCATTCCTGTCGTTATTCTGGTGTCTCTTTTGCGATAATCTATTCTTAACGCCAATCGCCTCTTCGGTGTCGTCGTTGTCATCGGCGCCCGTCTTCCTCCTCTTCTTACCGTCGGTCTCAAGAATTTCCTACAAAAAAGGCATTCAATTAAAGTCAGAGCTTTAGATCAAACAAAAGTCGTACAGATTTGGCGAATCGTTGCGCTTCGGAGACTCTTTCGTTCAAAAGCATCACTTCTTCTTCGTGTGTCTCAAAAATGGGTAGTTTTTTGCCGATTAAATGTTCGATACGTTGATAGAGTTCCACATCGTATTGACTCACAAAAGTGACTGCCTTTCCGTAACGGCCGGCTCTGGCGGTGCGGCCGACGCGGTGTATGTAATCCTTGCTATGCGTCGGAATGTCGTAATTGATGACAACATCCACGTGAGGAATGTCCAGACCTCTGGACGCCACGTCCGTTGCGATCAAAATGGATCGAGTCTTGGATTTAAACTTATTCAGAGATCCGAGTCGTTTGGATTGACTCATCTGTCCGTGCAATGGGATGGCAGTGAAGCCCAGGTTTCGCAACAATAGCGCTATTCGTTGTGTATTATTACAAGTGTTGCAAAAAACCATAAATGAATTGCCGACCAATTCGTTAAGAATATACACCAAATACACGTCCTATTCATCGCATATACAGTATTGTAATGATTACCACAAAGACTATAATGTAATATAAGACTCAAACCTTGTATTTGACGGGAATGAAGACATAGTGCTGTTGCAGACTATCAACAGTTTGGTATTTGGACGACACCTCCACTCGGACCGGATCTTTGAGCGAAGCTCTCTGTAATTTCTGTACCTTTTTAGTCATTGTGGCCGAAAACATGAAAGTGTTTCTCTCTTTGGGAATAACAGTCAATAGTTTGTCCACTTCTTGTTCAAAATCCATGTTCAGGATTCTGTCCGCTTCGTCTAACACCAGATATTTCAAACTCTTTAGATTAAAACCTTTGGTATTCTCCAAGTGGTCGACCAGTCGTCCCGGAGTGGCCACTATTATGTGCGGCTTTTTGGCCAAACTCATCGATTGGTTAATCATATCCATACCGCCAACGATTGTCGCTGTCGTAGAAAACAGTATTACTTTATGGTATGCTTTCATTTCAGTTAATCTGTTAATAAATACCGCATTTGAGGCCAAAACTTGATCCCAAAGCCATCAACTGTTCGCTGATCTGAAAGGCCAGCTCTCGAGTCGGCGTTAAAATCAAAGCGAAGAGCTTTTGAGGAGTTTCTAACAGAGCCTGAAGTATAGGTATAGCGAAAGCGCCGGTCTTTCCCGAACCCGTTTCGGCCAAACCAATGATATCGCGACCTTTCATTCAACGGACATAATGTGATTAATAATCAATTGACATCACATTGGGATCAGTTGTGATCAATACCTTGGAGGCCAATAGGTATGGACTGTATCTGTATTTTCGTTGGTTTATGCCATTTGAGTGCTTCACACGATTCACACAACACTTCAGTCACGCCCTAAACATACCATTCATTAGACAATCACTCAAACAATTCAATCCAATTAACGCACCAATGATTTGAACGTAACATTTGGTTCATCTGATTCCTCCGGGTCTTCGATGGCGTCCGCGTTGACTGCCATCACATCCTTCGTCAACGGCTCGTCGCTTATCGTCTCCTTCTCTGCCATTAAATTGTGATAACTATTGGTTTTAATCAATGATTCAAACGATTGTTTAGTAATTAATTATTTGTTAAACATTTAAATGTCTTTCAAAACAGTTGTTACTCGTCGCTTATCGTCTCCTTCTCTGCCATTAAATTGTGATAACTATTGGTTTTAATCAATGATTCAAACGATTGTTTAGTAATTAATTATTTGTTAAACATTTAAATGTCTTTCAAAACAGTTGTTAAACAGAAAGGCATGACTTTAAGGGCAATTCAAATACAACGTAATCCATATATTGTTTATTTAAAACCCTATATTTTGTATGCATTGCTGTGTTTATAATAGAATGCATTCTAAATATGTTTGAATTAAAATGCTTGTGATATGTGTCGAGGATAGCGTTGCCAGATCATATTTTGAATGTTCTGTATAAAAGTGGACATTTTACCTAAAAATTCCTGTATTTTCTGTATAATTTATATAAAATCCATACAATTTTCAAAAACTATACTTTTGCGATAATTTCGATGCCTTTACAATATAGTTATAATTAAATTTATAATTTAGTTTAAATTTATTTGATTTATAACATTAGCCCAGACTTTTGGTGAACAGTGGGTGTATTGAACTGATATTATAAGCAAATCTGAATATTGTAAAGCTTTAACAATTTATTGGTAAAATATTTATTCTGATATTTTTCAACATACAATGAATGATACCTTTTTGTACTCTGCGAAATTCCTTAATTCTTGTACAGTTCATTCTTAGTCTAGGTTATAGACTGAGGTGATCTAATTATAGTTAATTAAATACTGTATACTAACTAGGGATAAGAAACTTATGGAGTGGGAATGGAATCATGGGAATATTCCCGGAGTTTATTGGAGTTTATCGGGAATTTATTATGGGTTCCCTATAATAAATTCCCATGCGTTATTTTTTGTTTTTCTC